TGTACCCCTTAATATCCTTATAAAAATGTCTGTGTTATATTTTTTAATATAAATATATATGGATATAATGAATTATTTATATATATATATGTGTGTGTGTGTGTGTGTGTTTTGTGCTTTGTCCATACTGATATATGATCCATACGAGATACATAGCATGGAGGACTATGATTTGTATCATTTTTTCGATCAATCCCAGTGACCTGGTTTATATGATGCAAAAACAATTATCTGAAATGAACTAGAGTTGCTTACTTACAATTTAAAAAGACCTATTTTGTTTTTTTTTCTTAATTAGGTTAAGCTTAATAAATTTAAACGAGAAAAGCCAACCTGAAATTCTTGATCGCTCAAAACAAAATTGAATTCATCTTCGAGATCTCTCAGGCAAGACATTAAAGTCTCCGGTACAAACTTTCCACCGAACCTCCCGAATCTACCATTACGGTCGCCACGAAGAAACGGGATTTCATTGGTTCTTGTTGGGACATAACCCAAAGACGGACCACTCGTACGGTTGTGTACGTTGCTTACACGGTTGTAACTTATTATGTGAACTCCACAAACAACAGAGTTTATCATACCGTGGTTTCTTACCGGAACCCTAGGGAGTGGCTGCCCTTGTACCTGGAATATTTTAGTTGACGACATGTTCTATATTTTATATAATTTTGTGATTTTTCCTTACCAAACATTTGTGTTGACGAGTTATCTTTTTTATAGTGTGTATGTGTGTTTGTTACCCATTTGAATTTATACATGTTTAACATGTTGTTACATTTTTCCACTTGTCCTCTTGTTTTTTAACGTATGTCCACTCTTAACTAAGAAAAAAAAAACTAAGCAATGAGTTACGTTATTTAAAGAACGACGGACAAAATGAATGATGTTTCATGTCTTACGGAGTTTTCATATATATGAATAATAAGGAATAGTTACTTATAATTATATTCTATACTATTAGACAATTTCTTATAACTCAAACGAATCTATTATATTAAAACAGAAGTTATGACTTATTTCATGTGTGATTTTTTAGCTTAGATCATCCTTAGAAAGTTTATGAAATTGTACATAACATTATCATAATATCTTTTCATATCTTTTATTTTATTTTTAGAATACAAATAAATGTCTTTAAAAAACTCTAACAAAATATTTCTAGAACTTTTTCAATATATAGTTTTAAAAATTATTTGATTAAAACTTTAATTATCATAAAATATAATTAAAATTTCACTCATTTTTGATTTATAAAAAAAATTTAAATTTATGTAAAATAATTTAAACACAATCCCAAAAAATTGTTTATGTGTTACGTAGGTCCAACTTAATTTACTTTTTACATATATTTCAAAGTTAAAAATAAACAAAATATGTAAAATAGTAATGTTACATAATAATGTTCTTAAAAAATTGTTGTAAGAATACAAATTTTATATTAATAGTATTATAAGCCACATAAACATTATTATAAAATCAGATAATATACAACATAAAATTTTATTTATTTATTGATAAATTTTATTATATAATTTAAAATATTTTAGTTTTAAAATACCCACACGGTCGTGCGGGTCGAGATCTAGTAATTATTTAAGTTACAATATCATCCATGGTTGATAAAAAACATTAAATGTTGAAAATATAACTTTGTGAAGCAAACAAATTTTTTAAATATTTATTAAAACTGATGAAATGTGATCATCTTCGTAATAATTTCTTTTGAACATTCATCTTCGTATTTTTTTAACATATTTTGGGATATCCCAAGTTATATAAAAGTCTAGACTAGCTAATGTCTAAAAAATATTGCAGTTTATGGATCAATTCTCACTCTAAATATTTAAATAGACCATAAGATATATTTATATCCACATGATCATAAAATGAAATGTAATAAGATATTTTCAATTTTTTTAAAAATAAATATTAAATTGGTGTTTTCAAATTTGAGTTGCTTAATAATTCAAAATCCGTCTACTACTAGACCATCACCCAATGGTTTCATCTTCGTGGTTTCATCTGTGGAAATAATTCAGTGTATGTCTTAAACTTTTTGCTTACAACTAGCGGTAGCAACAAAATGCACATGTATGGAATAATGACCGTTAATTTATTTCAATCATCATGTTTTATTATGCCGATCTTACGACGTAGAACGTAAACCCAAAAAAAAAATGTAAATAATAAATGACAGGACAAATAATTTATGTTATTTTCAGTCATTGTGCGTTTTAATGTTATGAAAAAGTAGTACTAGTAGATGACAATAACAAGCACTTTCTCCTGTGGGGATTAGAACATGCGTTTTAATGTTTTGAAAAGTATACTAGTAGATGACAATAACAAGCACTTTCTCCTGTGGGGATTAGAAAACAATAATAATAAGAGGTTGTAAATGCATGTTCAGGTGCCTCCACGGTCCTTGAAGATAAGAGTTTAGATTTTTCTTTCACACGTTTAACGAGTGTCGCAAGATGCTAACATGACATATATAAATACTATACGTATTTATATGACGTCAGAAAAACATATTTATATTACCTTAAGAAAATGTGATCTATTAAGAGGTAGTTTATTCTGTATATTATCTAGTTAATTCCTTTTTTTTTCCTTGTTCACATTACATCCAATGATGGTATTTTGTTCACCTTACTATAATTAGCTTATGTTTTCTTAATAGTTTTAGAGCTAAGAATGGCAAAAAAACGGTAATTTATGAAAGCGTATAGTAAATTCATATACTTATACATCACATATATAATAAAAGAAAGTCATATATATCGTCAAAGATTTATCAAATTTAGTGGCTTGGTAAAAATTAAGAGTTAGTAATATGAAAAAAAATAATGATACGTATACTCGAATGACACTGGTTGTGACTTGTGAGTTAAAAAAAAAGTGTATCCTTTTTATTTGCTCACTCAATTCGCATATTTCATTCACATATGCTTTGAAAGTCCATCAAGTTTAAGGTGAGATGTAGTGAAAAGAAACATGCTAAATTGGTATAAGAGTTCAAGATACAACAGTGAATAAACTTTGATTATGAAACCATATAAAAGAACTGATCATGTAATGTAGAAATGTAATATTGCTGAGGTTAGCATAGTATCTAGAAACGAAAAATCCTGGCTCACCTGAAAAGTCTCGAGTTAGTAAATTTTCTGAATGTAATAGGTTCCTGTATAAGTTCCTAATTTTGTAGGTATTTGTTTACTTTCAATATCAGTTTATAAGAAATTTAGATAATTATAAATCACTCGTAACAGAGAAAATAATAATAACTAGATCTCGCCTCGCGCAACCGCGCGGATGTTTGTTTTCATTTATTTTTATAGATACATATTGTTTTCAATTTTGTAAAACAATTTGTTTTCACTTCTAAATTGATATATATATATATATATATCAATTTTAAAAGATAATAATATTATCATATATTAGTTTTTCATCGAATAGATTGTTTCAAACCTTCACATGTAATTGTATTTTCTTCTATATATATGTTTTGAATTATTATTTCATTATTAAAGTCGTAAATATATGTAAAGATTGGTAAAATATTGTTTTATTCTTATCTTTAAAGATATTGTAATATTTCTCATATTTAGAAATTTTAACAAAAATAAATTTTTAGCTCTATATTATGGAGTAAATAACTAAACATTTAATTTTTGTTATTTTTAAAATGAAATATATAACTTAAAAAATGTTCATATTGGCTTAAGGTAGTATAGCTTAATCATTGTTAGAATATGAAGATTTTTGTTATTTTAAAAAATAAACTATATAATTTTAAAGTTTAAACTTGACAAGTATATTATAAATATTTAACTTATGAAAATATACTATTACAACATTAAATCATATTCATTTAACATAAACATGTGTTTTATTATATTATATATAAATTCAATGGATTCTCCAATTATTGTTAGTCCAATAAAATTTTTGGGTAAGCCCAAAATTATATGTAACTAATTTTAAGGTTACTAATTAATAATTAAATAATGTAATGTGACAAATTTTAATAGATAGTCCATTTTAAATATCACACATTAAAAGAGTCATAATTTCTCTTTTAATATATTAGATTACAATTGAATCTAGATATATAGGGTCCTCTTTCGCACCAATTGATTGATATTTAGCATTAAGGTTCACGAT